CAGATCCCAGGCATGGACCTAGACACTGCTCGTCAAGCCATGCTGTGGTGGCATCCCATATAAAAAAAAGAGAGGAAGACTGGCACAGATGTTAGCTCGGCAAGAATCTTCCTCAACCAAAAAGAGGAGGATTGGCAACAGATGTTAGCTCAGGGCCAATCTTCCTCACCAAAAAAAGGGAAAAAAAAGCAATTGTCAGGCAGCCAGCATGAAGACGTTAGGAGCTCCACAGAAACAGATAAGTATGGAACCCTGGACAACCCTCTACATTTCCAATCTTCTGTAAACTGAAGAGGGCCTATGCACACATCAAGGCAGTCCTTCTGTCATTTCCCTTACTCTACTCCTACAGCAACTCAAAGGGTAGGGTCCTCCTTGCCAGGCTAGGCCTTTCTCTGTATCGAGGTCAATCCCTGCTTAAGAAGATGTCAGTAAAGAGAGAGTTTAGGTTCAGTCTATTAGGGGGACTTCATGACCCAGCCACAACTGTTAAGGTTCACATTTCTCATTCAACTGTCTTCCTGCCAACAAGATCTAAGCCCCAGGCTCCCCAGCTGCTTCTTTCTCTTTCCCTCCCGATTCACATATTATAGGCTTGTTACTCAAAGTGTGGTTCCAGAACCAGCAGCATCAATGTTGACTGGGAATTTGTTAAAAATGCACAATTTGTGGTACTACCTCAGATCTACTGAATTAGAATTTGTGTTTTAACAAAGTCCCCAGGTGAATCATTTGCAGGGTAAAGACAAGCACTGGTCCATAGGATTGGCCTCAGTTCTAATGAGGGATCCCCACATTCATCTTTCTCAGACAGGAAACAGCTGCTCTCAGCTTTGCTCTGCAAACCTCCCTCATGCATACCATCACCTCTCCAGACTCCTGAATACTCACTGGGCTTCTGAGCCCCTCTACTTCCCTCTGTCCATCTGCCTAGAAACCCCAGGGCTGCCCATTCCCGCAAAGGACAGTGACTGCTATGATTCTTGATGAGGTACCTGGCCCACCTGCCTGTACCTCTAAAGGCAGCCTCCAAAGCCAAGAAACAGTATTTCTCACCATCTACTGAGGCCTTATTTAATTTCTCTCAGTAGGCCAGCCCCGTGGCTTAGCGGTTAGGTGCGCACGCTACGCTGCTGGTGGCCCAGGTTCAGATCCCGGGCACGCACCGACACACTGCTTCTCTGGCCACGCTGAGGCCGCGTCCCACATACAGCAACTAGAAGGATGTGCAGCTATGACATACAACTATCTACTGGGGCTTTGGGGGAAAAAAATAAATAAAATAAAAAATTATAATTTCTCTCAGTAATGTTTTATAGTTTTAGTGTACATGTCTTATATATCTTTGGTCAAATTAATCCCTAAGTATTTCATATTTTTGATCCTATTAAAAATGGTACTTTAAGAAATGTTTTAATTTCCAATTTATCATTGCTAGTATGTAGAAATACAACTGATTTTTGTGCATCAGCCTTCTGTCCTTCAACCTTGCTAAACTCACTATTAGTTCTAGTAGGTTTTTTTTGTAGATTCCTTAGGATTTTACACATAGAAAATCATATAGTCTGAGAATAAAGACAGTTTCATTTCTTCATTTCCATCTGAGAGGTTTTTTTCTATTGCTTTATTGTACTGGCTAGACTCTCCAGAACAATGTTGAATAAAAAGGATGAGAAGGAACATTCTTACCTCATTCTCAATATTGGAGGAAAAGCATTCAGTCTTTCACCACTAACAGTGAAGTTAGTTATAAGTATCTCCTAGATGTTCTTTACCAGAATGAAGAAGTCCTCTTCTATTCCTAGTTTGCTGTGAGTTCTTATCATGAATGGTTGTGGACTTTTATCACATTTTCTGCATCTACTGAAACGATGGCATTTGATTTAAATATGGTATTTAGTCTGTTAATATGGTGAATTACATCAAATTACTTTTTAAATATTAAACCAACCTTGCATTGCTGGGATAAACCCCATTTGCTCATGTTGTATTATCCTTTTAACATGTGCTGGATTCTACTTGCTAATATTTTGTTGAGGATTTTTTCAACTATGTTTGTGATGAGTATTAGTCTGTAGCTTTCTTTTCTTACAATGTCTTTTCCCGGTTTTGGTATTAGGGCAATGCTGGCCTCACAGAATGAGTTGGAGAAGGTCTCCTCCTCTTGCATTTTCTGCATGCGTTTGTGTAGAATCAGGATTATTTCTTTAAATGTTTAGTAGAATTCATCAGTAAGTGAAACCATCTAGGCCTCCAAATATCCTCAACATCTCTATTAACATGTCTAAAAAGAAATTAAACTTAACATGGCCAACCAGAACTAATAATTTTTGCAGCAAAACATGCTATTCCCCACTATTCCTCATCTCAATTAATGACATCATTAACTTTTGCTTAAACCAGAATCCTAACAGTTATCCTTGATTCCCCTCTTTCACTCACCCTCTTCCTGAAATCCATCTTCAAGTCCTATCAGCTCTGCTTTCAAAATGTATCCCTACCTCTGAGATCTTTACTGTCATGACCCAGTATTAGCCTCCTACCTGGCCATCTCAATGTACAAGTGCCCCCACTACATTCCATTCTCCAAACAGCAGAGAGTGTTTTTCGGCTAAATAAGATCATGTCACTCTCTGGCTTAAAAACTCCATCTGGCCCTTAACCTCTTCTGCCTTTAGATATTAACTGTAAAACAGAAAAACAACATGCTGTGTCTGTGTAGCCTGAATGTACTGACTGTAGGAATGCTACAAAAATTTCTGCAAATTCTTATCTGCTTAACAAGCTCCAGTGATCCAGGAATTTACAAAATTAGACATCTTGGAAAAAAACACCACTTTGCTGTGTTGAGTCTTGAAGAAGGTATAGGTTTTTATCTAGAAGCAAAGACATCGAGGCAGAAATAAGAATGCCCAAGTCCTAAACCTGCCCTTCTAGAACTCAACAATAACAAACACCTTCACCTCCAACCTATCCCTATCTTCTTAGGCTTTCTGCCCAAAGCAAGAGTGCTTCTGACAATACCAGGAAAGGCTGTGCTTGCTGGTCTTAAACACAAATGGGGTGAAGAACAAGGGAAATAATGTAACTGGTTTATTTACTCATATGTCTGTTTATTTTAGACAACCTCTGCCTCAGCCAAGGGCAGGAAGGATGCCAACCAACTTGGTCTTGCTCTTTTAAGCAACCTCATCCACTTCTGCAGAGCTCAACAAGTGCTCTACTGTACACTCTCCATTCCTACTCTTTAACCTCAAGACCTCATACCTGCTCTGGTCAGCTCTAGACCCACCCGACATGCTAACCACTCTTCTATTTCTTTCTGTTCTACCCATTCTCACCCCTTAAGTCAAAGGAAGCCACTATTCTTCTTGTTCCTTCTTTGGCTCATCTTCACTATAATACGGCCTCTTTACTCCCTCAAATGACCTCTAGGAATACTTTCTTTGGTTTGACCAAACCCTAATGCTCTCCTCTTATCTTCTTATACCTGGTCAACACTGTGCTAGATGATGCTGTCAAGACAAAAGGAAGTGACCTAAATCAATCTACGTTCCTGGGACCTGGAGCCAACCCTTAGCTGTGCTTTCAAGGAATCAAGGGAGGAGACTATATCCACACTTGGCAGCAACTGGGGGTGGGGTAGAGGGAGGGTGGAGAGGTGGATCTGGACTAAGATAATTCACTCTCACAAACACTCCGCACTTAACTTCACAGCATTAATCAAAATTACCCTTAAGTTTGTTTAAGTGTGATCAGTATCAGTCTCTTCATACCTGTACTCCCCACCAGACTAAAAGCCCCATGAGGGCAAGAACTACGTCTATCTTGATCATTACTAATTTCCATGCACCCTACAAATCCCTGGCACACAGTTATAACTCAATTACTCTAGCCCTGTCAGATAAAAAATAATTTAATTTATGCCTCGACAAGGCTCTCAGATAAGGTAGTACTTTCCACATTTCTGGAAAAGCTAATAATAAAAACTAACATTTCTTGAGCTGCTATCAGGGTCAGGCACCATTCCAAGATTTTTACATGTGTTCTCATTTACTCCTCATGACAAACCTAGGAAGCAGGTACTATGATTATTCCCATTTTATGGATGAGGCATTTGAGGCACAGAGAGGTTATATAATTTGCCCAAGGTTATACAGATGAGTGGCAGAGATGAGACTCAAATCCAAGTAGCCTATCCTGAAAGCTCATTCCATTAATCACTATGCTATAATACTTCTAAAGAAGACACCAAATTTTTGATTACTAATGAATTGAGCCAAATAAAAGATATGATATGAAGAAATGCTATGAAGAAAAAGTCAGACTTAGACATACAAGTTGCCAGTTCTACATGACAATTCAAAGAAATTGTTACAGGTGAATCATTCTAGCACCTAGCACCCTTATTTAAAACAATAGTCAAAACAAAAATCATATCTTCCTTTTCAACTGACAGACATAGATGGAGACTGAAACACAGTTAAAAACATTTTCTTCTGCCACCAGATCTGTTTTATGAAAACAGAGTCTATTTTTGTCTGCCAAGGTAGGTTCAATCACAAAACTGGGCCCTACAGAACTAGATATGTGTTGCCTGAGTTTTCCAGCAAAGGCAGCAGGAATGTATGAAGACTGCCACCATCTCCATGGCTTTGTCTTTCCAGTTCTCCCAGCATTAAATGTGGGAAAATAATATGTATCAAGCTTGAATGTGCCCTGCAAGCTTTTTTTCTATCCTAAAAACTACCAGAAATCAATGCAAGACACGTGATAGGGAAGACAGATCACAGGAGAGGGAGCAAGGAGAACAATTCAGATCATTACATGTCTGCCCACCAGATGCTTCTATGTCTCAAGCATCCCACGGCCTGCGTCTGAGACAACCACAGGGACTTAGGGGTCCGTGACTGCTTCAATTTATGATGCCTCATTGATGCACCATGGAATGCAAAAGGCCCTGCAGAAGTCTATAATTAGAAAAGAAAAATTTAACTCACCTTCCACTGTTCCTCTGGAAGCAGCTTCACGACCACAAGATCCCCATTCAAGGCTCTATTACGAGCAACAACCCCATCAATAAAAATGTCTCGATCACCATCCTAGGTTGAAGAGAGAAATAAAACACACAGGTTACCACAGCTTGGAACCAAAAATTACTTCCTTGGTTCCAAAATTGTAGACTCTGCAATCATCCACTGACTTACAGGAACACTAGTACACAGTCACAAATTGACCTAGAGGGAGCTCAGTCTCTTTGGAACTAATAGAAATGGTGATGAACGTCTAAGAGCAGGTTAACAGAATGCTCAAAAAATCACCAAATAAGAGAAAATCTACTACAGGCAGGCCAAAAACACAAAGCAAAAAACTGGGATTGCATGCTTCCATAGCTAAAAGGAGTAACTTATCCTTAGGTTATCCTTTTTTGTTTTAAATAAAATAAAGCATGATGATACTTTTCCACATTAACTGATGTTTTTTTAAGAAGAAGGGTAAAAAATAGAAGGTCTGTAAGAAAACAGAACAACAACATATAATTCTCCAAGAAAACCAACTGAGGGCCAAGCTCTAGGTTCTCTAGGAGGAAACCAGCAAAACCATACTCTCCCTAGGAAAGCAGCAGAGAGAGCAAACTGTGGTTGTTTTTACAGAAATCTAAGCAGAAAGTAAAGAAAAAAAGGAAAGGTACGTAATACGAGATCCATAAAATGTTCTCACATTCTACCTCTCTCACTGACTTAGGAACCGGGTGAACTCCCAACCATGAACACAACAAGGCACGAACTCCTTCATCCTCAATCACATGGTTAAAAACAACCCACTTTAAGCAGTGTAGCCCTCGTGAACTCCCCAGGTATCGACGGCTAAATTTAAATATTAGGGGCTAGAGTCTTCCTATTAAGCCAAATTACTTTGCAGAAACAGTTAAATGGAAGAGATAGCTAAGGAAAAGCATGCCTTCAGCAGTAAGGTTCCACGAAAAAATTAGATATTTTCAGAATGTTTCATCAACAAACATGCAAACATGTACTCAAATCCTTTTATCCTTCCAAAAGTGTATACTATGTGCTTCTTTTCAGAGGATAAGAGAGAATTAAAATGTTAATTCTTCTTAAAAGAGGTAATAGCAAACAGGCTTGGAAAGCCAACCAATCAAAATTTTCTAAGAGACACTCAATATAAAATAAATGTAACACTCAACAGACTACAGGTGATTACTACGACCTTTTAGTTCAAGTTAAAATCAGCACTCCAAATTCACCAACCCCCTCACAAAAAATGGGGTTTTAGACACTCAGCATTTTTTATAGTTGCCAATTACAAACCACTGGAGATCTTGGCGAACAGTCTCTCTGTTCAATTTCCAATCTAGCCATGGGCTGGCAGCTGTGGCCTGCACTTTGCCAAACCTGACCCACCCTCGTCCCTGAGGAACAGCTACCGTGTTAGCCACCAAGTCAGAATTACTGCAGTTGACCTCTTGACAAGCTTCTCAGAGACCTTAGGAAGAGACAACCAGTTAACAAAGAGTGAACAACTGAAGTGTGGCAGAACATCATCAACGGCAGCCTTCTGCAATTCATAAAGCAACAGGATCTCTCCAACTTCTCTAGACTGAAGAGAGAGCTGTCTGGAGGTCATCCTAACCCGTTATCATGTGTCAAAACATATGCCACGATATGTCTCTTTTATAAGCAGCTACACCACCCTTAGACAGCTCAGGGTGTAAGATGATAAGACATTAGTATTGTCATGTTTCTATTCCAAGAAACCACGAAAAACAGGGCTGAGTTGAACCTCAGACAACACAAATCTATAGATATTGCATCACTACTCAACTCTTACTTGATTCATTCAGAAGCCTGTATGTACTGCAGAATCTCTTAAAGATACTAAACTTGGGAACCACTCAATATTAAAAATGTGAGTCGGGGCCGGCCCGGTGGCGCAAGCAGTTAAGTGCGCGCTTTCCGCTGCGGTGGCCCGGGGTTCACTGGTTCGGATCCCGAGCGCGCACTGATGCACCACTTGGCAAGCCATGCTGTGGCGGCATCCCATATAAAGTGGAGGAAGACGGGCGTGGATGTTAGCCCAGGGCCAGTCTTCCCTCAGCAACAAAAAAAAAAAAGGGGGGGGGGAGGATTGGCAGATGATCAGCACAGGGCTGATCTTCCTCACAAAAAAATAAAAATTAAAAAAAAAAAAAAAGTGAGTCACCCTTCTTAACTACTTTTTAAGGCCAAAGGTATCACCCTTCTTAACTGCTTTTTCAGACCTTTATCTGAATGCCAGAAGACTTGCTCTACCCATTAGAAAGAATAGAAAAAAGAAAAATGGATAATGAACAACCCTAGAGGAAATATGAAAGGATCTGGGGGTAGTCTAACTAAATACTTGGAAGGCTGGAGTGGGGAAGGACAACCCAAGTATGCCAGAACAGTCAGAGCATCCTCCATCAATGGTATAGCTCCTTTTGGACCAGAAATAAATCTCACAGATGTACAAAGGGTGTCTCTCATGACACATGCACAAAAAAGGTACAAACCTTCTTGCACCAACTTAATTCAGAATGGAAACTGTGCTTTTTGTAAAAAGCCAGGTTTTTACATCTGGACTTCTCCTCTTTATCTTATCCCCAAATCAGATAAAAAGGCATCTCAATAATATCTATTTATCTTGGTTTGCTTGAAAGTCACATGGTTTTATTCTAACTCTACATCTGACTGTTACTGAACCCCAGGAGACTGGCAGGTACACATATGGAGGGACTTATTCCATGTATTTAGGGTTTGTCATAAGAAAATGAAAATCAACTTTCTATCAGTAGAAATTATAATGAACCTACGTTAAGCTCCCCCCAAACAAAGTACTTTTTATACCTAATGATCAATTCATTGTTCCTAGCCTGTTGACTTAAGTCGATATTTTAACATAGCAAATGACACTAAGTTCACAACTGTTTTTAGAGTCAGTGAGAATAAACCTACATAAATTCATCAAACTAGTCTATTTCTGTCCCTCCAAAAACTTTAGAATTTTAGACTTGTGAGGAACATTACACAATATTTAATCCACCCCTCATCTTACAAATAAGGAAACTTTTCTGTTTCTTATTATCAGAGCAGAGGCTACACCTTCTTTAATATCAATTCCTGTCTTCATTCTCCCTGCTAAAGCAGGGGACAGGTAACATTCAGGCCCTGGTTCTGACATCCTACCTACCTCCTAGTCTACCTGCGAGCATTTTCCAATTCATACAAGTTCACACCTAACATGGATGTGAGCTATGTATACTCAGAAATCCAGACCAGCAATGGGAGTTATCTACATGTAATTTATTGCCTCTACTATCTTCTTCTTCAATTGCTTTTTAAAATGCTTCTAAAAACTGAAACTGACAAAAAAAACCCCATAAAACTAGAATGCAGGATTGTTCCAGTGTCCAAAACCAAAACCAGAGTACCTACAATCATTTACAACTGGGCCTTGATAGAGCTTTTACAGTCTGTTCTTAATTACTTAGAAGTAAATCATTTGGCACTTTTTCTCTCTTTGAGACAATATTACTACTCCATCAGTGGCCAGACAGGAGAATAAAAGAGGTATAGAAATAAGCCAATCCTAATATCACCACTGCCTAAAAAACTCTAAATAGGACATGTCAGGAATACAATTTCAAGTAGGAGAACAATCGGAGCTCTTGAAACACCAATAACTTTTGCTTCTAAACTTCTTTTAACAAGCCCGATTAAACAGTGACAACACATCACTTGCAAATTTAAATCACATGAATTTAACTTACAGGAACCTAACTAGGCCCTATAGTTTAGAGGATCTCTGCTCTGGCTCTCCTCCAGCCACACTCCTCCCCATCAGGTAAGGAGTTCTCAGGGCCAAGTGGATGTGCATCCCCATTTGTAATCAGCCCCAAGCCCACTTCGGGGCATACACAGGCATTTTCCCCAGGTCTGTCTTCGTGAAGGCAGACCACATCACGAGTGGCACCCCCTGCACTTGACAGGTGGCTAAAGGGTGGGTGTTTCTAAGGGGTGTGGACAGATCTTGGACGTGTGAGATAAGATGCCCACATAAGTGCATTCAAAGGCCCTTGTTGAATGAGGGAGCAGCAAAGAGGGGACAGGGAGCCAGGACCGGGAAGGGAAGAGGGGCAGGCCAGAGGTGGACCCTTTCCACACAGCCACATTTCAGCATGGAGCTCCAAGAGTCTGAGAATTCTACATTTGAACCCTAGTACATGAAGGTATATTTGGCAAGGAATATATTTTATTTATCATGAATGTATTTTACTTAATAGTTTGTTAGTCTGATTTATAATTTTTAAATATTTAATATAAGGTATGAGTGCCTATGTTTGTACTATGTCCTAGGCCCCACACTTGTCAGGAGATGACCTAACAGGGATCTAACTTAGGGAAATTCACGACTGTATACTCAAGGAAGAGAGAAAGCAAGCATTAAAATTTTCAAAATGCCGTATGTAGTTCCCTTTATCATTACAATCAGTGAGAGCAAACCTCAGTGTGCACAGGAGACAGGAGATTCGAAATCTGCTCAGTTCCCAAGTGCCTCTCAGGATGAACTCCTTATTGTACTGAGTGTGATTCTCATGCTTAAAAATCCATGTTTTGCACACACCAGAGCCCCTAATATAATCAAGCTCCTTCAACTGGTATGCCAATGAAGAAATAGCCCTTCTTTCTAATGTGGAGAAAATGCTGGTCATGCCAGACTTATTGAGAGATGGTTTATCCATCTCCAACATGGCTAATTACTAATAGATTTTCATGGGTAATTTTTTTGATTACTGAATGTGATTTTCACCTAATGAGCAAACTCTGGAATCTAACACCTATGTAAACTGTACTTCCACTGTATGATACAAATGCTTCTGCAGCTAAGTTACTACCACAAAGCTGACCCTCAATTCTACAATCCAAGTACCAGGGTCAGCATATATACAGTCATGTGTCGCTTAATGACAGGGATTTGTTCTGAGAAGTACGTTGTTAGGTGATTTCGCCATTGTGCGAACATCATAGAGGGTACTTACACAAACCTAGATGGTATAGCCTACTACACACCTAGGCTATATGGTACTAATCTTATGGGACCACAATCATGTATGTGGTCCATCGTCGACCAAAATATCATTACGTGGTACACGACTGTACCGTGTTCTGTCACAGGAAAAGAATACGATTCAGAGAGAACAATGTGACATGTCAGTGATATTTTTTATCTAATCCAATGGGTAAGACCTGAACTTGAGATACAAATGTGAATCCCTGGCTTCTGGAGGGCAAGGGGAAAAAAGGACTAAACAGAATTTGAGAAGAGGTCTTAAAGTTATTGTAACAACAACAATAATACCTATGAAGTAGATGACTGAACTTGTTTTCTCATTAAACTTGTCATTTCACATAATGAAATATGTTAACTAAAATATATGTATTCCATTTCCTCGTCTATAAGAAGAAATTTATTCCTATGGTCTCTTTTGCTGTGAAAAACCTATAATTCTACAGCTATCCTATTCATGGCATCCTGGAAAAGTTAGGTCAGGAATTCAAGAATATTGCTCTCCCAACTTTGCACAATCAAGACTTATCTAGGGACCTGCTGCTAACTATATGTCAGAGTGAACTGCCCTTAACGGGAGAGAGCCTGTTAAAATGAGTCATGAATGTAAGAAAGGGTATAAAGACCCAATAGTAAAGAGCCTCATACTCAGTCCTATCACCTGCATAAAAGCGAAGTGAGAAACTCTGAAAAAAAAAAAAAAGCATTACACATTATTTTTGGACAAATTTGCAGATTAGCTCATGCAGTAGATTGAAAGTAGATAGCATATTTGTTTAGGAAAGATTAACTTAAATCAGTGGAAAAACCCATAAACCCTTTAAGCTATAAACCAAGGGCGTCCAATTACACAAACTGGTGGGTGTCTGCATGGGTTCAGCTGCTCTCTGCAGCCTAATAACAAATGCCATCCCTTTCATTTGAAGTGTGATTTTAAGACTGGCAGAGGGGGTTGTTAACCAAAGGCAAATTTTTTGTTTATTTAAATTTGAAACAAATCCTTGCCCATCCTCGATTTTGTTTTATTACTCTGCCTTTTAGTTTGAATATATGATTTCAGTTTCAGAGCACATCTAAAAAATTAAATGTGACATTAAGTTTATTATAAAGTTATTGAACTTACCGGGGAAGGAATGAAGGCTTCATGGAACTTCTTTGGATTAATTCTCAATACACCCTTTAAAATAAAAAATAAAACCTGTGAAAATTTAACTAGTTATACACTTAACAATTTTTCCATAAGTACGTTATTCTCCAATAAAAAGTTTTTAAATTAATTAAACAGTTCAATCCAGGAAACAAGTTAGATGTATGAGAACTATTCATTAAATGCATGAAACATGATTTATATTGATGTCTGAAACACAGGGTTCCATCAAAAACTGAAAGCTCACACTGGCACCTTGCTATGAACAGGCAGAGGTGAAAAATAAGAGCTTGGCATGGAGTGAGAAAGTGACAACTATTGGGATTTTATGTGCCCCTATATGCTAGTCTTCAAATTTAAACCTTCACTTTAAGAACAAGGCTATCTGGCAATTACACCTCATTGCATAATTTTTTCTGCCTTTTTTATTCTCTAAGACTTTTTCCACAATTGCTTGTTTCTGTGACAATTTTCAAAGTGATATAGGTTAATTTTCAACCTGGACACTTAGCCTCAAGGGACTGGATGTATATTTTTTAATCTGGCCCCTCTGCGGAGCTGAATGAGTCAATAATACAAAATGGTCCAGAATCAGCTCTTAATGTAAATGGGAATCCTGGCTCCAACAGCTAGGCCACCCAGTCTGCCTTCGACTTCATGTTATTCCAGTACCAAATCAGGATCTGCTTCTATTTATGCACAGGGGTGCAGGTGGGGGCAGCCTTCAATAGCAGTTCAGTATTTGAGGCTCTCGCAGGAAGCTGTAACCCTCCCCAGGTTCCAGCTGCATCTGAAGGCCACTGGAACTCACGGATGGAGGCGGTTATTTTCCTAAGAGCCAGACTCAAAAGTTGTCTTGAAAAAGTATTTCAAATAACATTTTCCCCCTAAAATGAGTTGAAAGACCCAAAGATACATAATTAACAAAATAAGTGAGGACATAAAATAAAGCAGAAAATAATTCTTTCTTTCACTGGTGCACCATGTTTAAATTACAAATTTCCATGCAACAGTTTATACTACTATTAACATCCTAAATAGACTACTACAAATGTTCATTCAGTCCTTAATTCAATAATTATTTACTGAATTCTATTTTCAAGACCCTGAGACAGTCAATGTGGGAGAGAGAGTGATGACCAAGCTCAGTCCTTGTTTATAAAGTAAAACATGAAGAATGCCATAAATGAGGGTACAGCTTACTTTTACCTGGGGGCACCAGGAAAGGCTCCAGAGATGGTATCTAACCTCGTCCTTGAAGGAGGAGCAAAATTTGCAGATAAATCAGAACGGAAATACAGGCAGAGGTGACTGTGTAAGCAAGAGTGATTAAGAGGGCAAATACTCTTCTCCCATCCTGCTGTGACTCTGCTTAGCGTAAGAGATAGAGTGGCCAGGAGACAAGGATGGCAAAGCTCCCCAGGCCAGTCCCTTTTAGGAATGTCACTGCAATTTCAGTTCTACGACAGCTGTTTCTTGTTGAGAGAGGGACGAAAAAGGTTTATTACACTTACACTAAATATTCTTCCACTCACCCAACAAATATTTCCTGACGACTAGCATGACGGGGACTACACTAAGTGACAGGGACACAATGGAGAGTAATAATAGACAGTCTCTACCCTCTAAGAGCTTACAGTCTAGTGAGGAGAAGACATTCCAGATAAATAAAAGTAAATTCATTGAAGTTAAATTTTTTTTTATTTTGATTGCAGGCATTTTTTTCTAACCTATATTGTTTTTTTCTTTTTTCCAATTGCTATTCTTCTATGATCCCTTCTAGCTCAGTGAATGGTTAGTACATGAAGAAGTACAGAGATGAGCATGCCTTCTGCTTTGAAAGAGTCTTTAACTACAGAGCACTTAGAGAGGCAAAGGCTGAGCTCAGAGGAAAGAGACAGATTGCTCAAGGCTGTACCTAGGCTCTATTTAGAAGAACAAATATTTAAAGGACCATAAAGATTCTATTCTTGATTGTCTGTCCCAAACTTCCTGACATATAAAAACATATAGGGAAGGACAGAAGCCTTGTACAAGAAAAATATTTGCAATTTGACTGGAGCATACTCTTAAGAACTGGACCTCAGGAACAGATCCCCTTGAGAGTACAGATCACACCATGGAAAGAAACTCTACCAAGTTCCATAGCAGACCAGAGTCATCTCCACAGCCTGATGGAAGAAGCTGTCAGTAAAGCATGTCAAGACATGGTCTTTTAAACTAAAAGAGACTTCCAGCAGCTGTTTTGTCTCACTTACCTACAGAAGTCCAGGACTTCCATTTCCAAACTTTAACGAGCATTACCTAATCTGCCCCAATTCCTCATCTCTCATCTTCCTCCTCAATCCTTTCCTAGGCCTGGAACTTGATCAGTGAGGCTCCTACATCCTCCATCTCTTCTCTGACTGCTCCTGTGCCTCCTTGCCTTAATTGAAACCCGGCTGTCCCCTGATATGATCGCTTCCTTTGAAGTGCTCTCAAAGGGAGCCTATTTTCTCTCTCCTAGCCCATGTATCTCAGGGACCAGAGAAAGAATGTTCCCCCCCAGCTTCCTCATTGTGGCTTTAAAATTATTTTTTTCCTCCATTCTCTTTCAAAACCCCCAGATCCCTTGAAGTTCGTGTCATTAGCTCCTGCTATATCTCCTTGGTGCTGTCATCTTCAAACCTTCTGATCATGTCCCTCATTCACTAATGCTTTGGCTCATAGCTCATCGTCTACCTCCCCACCTCCATTCCTATAAACACTTATGGGACTCCACATCCATATGAATCACCAGGCAACCCCAGCCAGTCACTCTAGCTACCTTTTCCTCCACCCCGCCTGGCCACTCTCTCCCATGTTCACAGCCGGTATCTTGTCACTACTGCTAATTATACCACCTCCAAACACAAAAAATCAAATATCACATGTTCTGATCACAGTCTTCTAGTCTTCCAGCTCACTTGTAAAAACCCCACTTCAACAATACTTCATCTTCACTAAGACCTCCAACCCACAGACCTACCTACAGTTTTGCTATTCATCGTCCTCCCTCTATGTTTATTCCCTTCTTGGCCACCTAGATGCCATGACCTGTCATTACCTCCGGCCCTTGCAAACCCTGAGCCTTGGGTCCACTCTTCCTCCTGTATTCAACTAGCAAAACCACACTCTCAGTTGACCCCTGCCTTCTCCATGCCTACACCCAAAGGGCTGAATGTTACTGTAGAAAAGTACCACACAACAGAGCTAATTAGCCTAACTCAGCAATCATAAACATGTTTTATTTGGCTCACGTTTGTGAATGCTTAAAACTGAGGAACTTCACACATAAATATGTATTTCCAGATTTTCTTAAAAAATCGGCTAACTCCACATGGCAGCAACCACCTGAGTTGAATAACAGATGCTTCTCTTATAGCAATAAAAACAACTGCAAGGCCGGCTCGGTGGCACAAGCGGTTAAGTGCGAGCACTCCACTGCGGCGGCCCGGAGTTCGCCGGTTTGGATTCCGGGCGTGCACCGACGCACCGCTTGTCAAGCCATGCTGTGGCGGCGTCCCATATAAAGTAGAGGAAGATGGGCAAGGATGTTAGCCCAGGGCCAATCTTTCTCACAAAAAAGAAAAAGAACAAACATTTGTTGAGCTAATTAATTAATGTCTGCAGAGCTGAAGTTTTCCCACCACCCCTGTATTAATGTTATGAATATCATCTGTTCCTTCTAAATGACTAGGCAGTCCACTATAATGTCACCTCTCTTTTTTATTTTACACCCAAATGTTCTCCAGCTGATTTCACTCTTAACAAATGGTGAATGTCCCAGCAACTAGCCCAGCCTGTCCTGTCTTCTTGGACTAGGACTTCTCCTGAGGTCCAATAATGACTTTATACCAATATTCTATTCTAGGAGGAACTCTGTCGTCATGCCTCAGGCAGCTCTGGGGCTCAGCCTCAACCACCTTTAGCCAAAGTATCATCTGGGTTCATGAATCAGTCAATTCTACCATCTTCATACCCATGTCACTTTGCTTATCACCCCAAACCTGAGCCCCTTCCAGGCCTGTCTATCCCTTCCTCTCATTTCTCCCAACATATAACAATCTCCCAATACTGCACCTATGGAGAGAGAAAGGACATATGTTCTTTGCTGTGAGAACCTGTTTACAAAAAAAAAATTTCAAAACTACATGTATATGATCATGTGTTATTGCTGGTCAGTTCAAACACAGGAAAGAGATTTCTTTGGTCCCTGTGGACTCCTCTTCCCCACATAGGGCAAAACACCAATGAAAGGTCAAATTATTGGTCAAAGTATCGAAAACAAAACAAATATATTATTCCACTCCTATTTAAAAATATCTCCTCAATATCTCTCAATAAAAGTTTCTTCTCCAGATGAGGAGAAGAAAAAGGAGGTCACAATATACTTAAGTTTGAATACAAAAGTTAACAAATGCTTATAAGTATATCCAATAAGTTCAATTTTCTCCAACAGCACTCAAATATCTTTTCCTGTCTAGCTTTTTACCTTACTCATCAAGGCCTGCAGACACAAAGTTTATATCAGAAAGCAGATGGACTCTGTTTCTCTGCCTATGAAAATCTTATTTACAGTGTTGTATATTTCACATGGTGACCTCATATCTGGAACCCATTCCTTTCCCCATCTGCAGAGAACAACTGTTCTCATCTGTGAGGGGAGGCTCTGGCTGCAGAGTCTCATGATGTCACAGGCCAGGAGGAATCACTTATAAACTCCTGGGAATGAGAGTTATTATACTGATCAGCTTTTTGTTTGGTTTTGTTTTAATATCACCAAAGAGTTGCTTCAAAAGCAAAAATTAATACGAAGGAGCAAAAACTAATAGCATTGTAGAATATTTCCCTCACTCTATGTCTATAAATTCTATAAACAAAATTATAAGCAATTTTTTGTCCAAGTTATAACAACCAAGCTTCCCCTCACTCTTCTTCAAAGACAGTACACTGATCCTTTATTCAGTCAGTAAATAAATATTTATTCAATATAAACTTATTAAGCATCAATCAAATGCCAGGCACTGGGCTAATCTGTGGGAATAAGGCATGACCCTGCCCACAAGGAAGTGAACAGTCTATTTGAGGAAACATAAATGCTAAGATATGGTAATAGGTTTAGAATAAAGGGTAAACAAGTCAGCTTCAGGAAAGTGGTAACAGCTGATTCCTCTTGGAGAATTAAAGTAAGGCATCTCAAAGGGGGTAACATTTAGGTAGGGACTTAAAGGTCAAGCATGATTATTACATCAAGATAGTGAGAGAAAGCATTCCAAGCACCAAGAACAGCGTGTACAGAGTCAGAGGAATCCAAGAGCAGAGTTTTTATAGGAAAAGTTTTGAAGATCAGGGTGAAGGGAGCAGAGCGCACCTGGAGGACAGTGGCAGGAGACGAGAATGGGAAAGGCACAACAGGTCCTCGTACATGAAACAAGATGAGGGCCAACAATAAAATGTAGATAAAATGGAGTTCAACGTGTGCGCTGACCAATAAACAGCAAATGAATGGATTAATGAATGGACAAATGTCCAACTGCAGCTTTGACTCTCCTGAGAGAGGTCTTGTCAAAGAAATCCAAGGGAAGCTGAAAAAAAAAGTCAATAGTACCTCTAAAATCAGAAAGATCAACTCGTTTATTAAAAAGAGTTTTCCATTCAAGAGTCTACATTAATCATATGTGCAGTTGACCACAGGTAAATACAAACAGGTGAAAAAAAGAAGAGAAGATGATAGTATCTGTTAATTGGCTGGATCTTTAGCCAAAAACACAAATCAGAATGAGAGAAAATGGAACACAGTCAACATTTTCAAGTGAGCCAGGTAACACATGGCAATATTTCTATACTAATACAAGAACTATGAAATAGACTTAATTCAAAGAATATGTGGCCCTGCCTCCCTCTCCTTCTCCTTACCTACTACCTGCCCCACATTTCATGCCTAAAGAGATCTAAGCTGCCTTACTCCATATTGTTTCACAAGTTCTTGTTTTCATGAGTGCCAAGACTTCTCTATAGCTCCTTCCCACATACATATTACCCATTTTAATAGGCCCAAACTAGTCATCCTTCAATATCTACCACAGATGTCACCTCCTACAGTTTCCCAGTTCCCCCCAACATTCTCCCATACACCTTGGTCACACTTTTATCTGAGCACTTACCGTTCTTCCCCGAATCATCCATTCACATGACTGCCTGCCCCACACTGGGCTGCCAGCTCAAAGTACAGAAAAGCAGCCTCATCCACCTTCATCTCGAGAGCACCCATGCGGCGTCTCCCAACTATAAACTGCTCCTGGCTGAGAGCGGAGGCTCAATGAACCTTTGCTGAGGCAAACCACTGAACTGGCTTGTAAAAGTATTTTGTAAACTATAAAGCACTCAACAAATATTATCTGCTGCTATTTATTGTTTCCTTTTCCACCTTATTCTCCGTCATTCAGCATCCATGTGCTCCGGGCAAACTGAACTCTCAATGTTTCTTATAGCCAAATGCTATTTCCCACTTCTGTCTTTGTAGCTCACGCTGGTCCCTCCGTTTGTAAAGCTCTTTCTCTTATCCTCACTATTCAAACTGCACCAATCCATGGCCTGGCCCAAATATATCCCTCCAATAAAACATTCCTAGATAACCCTAACTGGAAATAATGGCTCCCTCCTCTCAAGTCTCAGAGCACTTTGTCTGTCTCTGTCTTGTGGCACTTATCACCTCCCATTGCACTGCAGGTCTAAGAAATGGGAAGCCCTGTGGCCTGTTATGTCATCAATTCTCTCAAAGCACACAGCACAGAACAATAAACAGTTTAATGAGTAAACAGATCACTCCTCATTCTACATATTCAAGAAATAGCCTTCTGGTCTGTTTTAAGTACCTGGATGAGTGTTCCTCTCTTCAAGCCTTCTGAAACATCCTCCTTGGACATGTAGGTTTCAAATATGCTCTTTTTCTTCCCTCGTATGGACTTGTTCTTTGACTTTTTGTCACTCGGCGAAGCACCAATACCATGTGAGCCAACCACAGAGGACACACCTAGAAACATAAGGCAGCAATCAACTCTTTCCTCAATCAAACATCTCTGTATTTTTAAAACTGGAGATAGTTTACCCTTTTTTTTTTTAAGTTAGAAAGACCAACAAGAGAATGAAACTCCCTGATAATGATTTCAAATAGTCACAAAAAGGAAAGAATGGGTAAGGAAACATAAATAAAATATACTTAGATGAGACTTGAGTTTTAAATCAGCACCACAATATGCATGACATAATCTGAATAATAGATTCAGTATGCTTTGCTGTTTATAGACACAAACTTTTTAAAAATAGGAATTACTAACAGATTGTCACTTTTCTAGAGGAAATTAAACAGCTGTATTCAATATAACAATAAATTAAGACACTAAGAAACCACACTTAATTCTAGAATAAATAACATGAGAGAATATTTAACAGGTCACCAAACGAATTATAGCCCCCTCAGTTCTAAGACCCGCCCTACACCTCCATTCCACTTTTATTTCAGGCCTCCAGTTGCTAGAGTAGATTCCATTTTCCTTTTGCTACCTCTGGGGGTCCCCAGGGGCCGGAGGTTCAGCCTGTAGTCAGGATGGCTCATTCCTGGTTCCAAGGTTGCCTCTTCTCTCCAGATCCAGGGGGGCCTCCACTGCTCAGCTCAGAGTTCTCTCCTGCCTTGAGCAGCTCAGTTGTTACTAGCTGAAACCAAAGAGAAATGGGTGACTACAGAGCAGTTAACCAGTAGCCTCCTCTGCGCTCTCAAATATTTAGTACTCGGATATACTTGAATGACAAAGGCAAAGTGGTGCCCCTCCTGGGTCCTGGCGTCACTTTCTCCCAGGCAGTTAGTCAAGCACACCATCCGTCCTGAGTTTCTTTTCAAGGTCTTCACCCTCACAGGTATCACTAACCTGCCTGTTTGAGGCACTTCAACTAAAAACCTCCACAAATAAGGCAATGAGGTGGAAATTAAGGAGTTCCACAGTTCTCCTCAGCTTGTGAAATGCACAAGAGCAGGAGAGAACATGGTTTTGAAAAATGGCATAAAGATCTAGAATCTAAAGGTTGTAATGAAATGAGTACTAACCTAGGGCTCAAGAATGCGGCATTTACTAAGTTTAACCTTGTTAAACGACGTTCCTCTACAAAACCAAGTAAATCAATTCCTTAGAAATCATCAACAAAATCTAATTCATTGCCACAACCTGATGTCCAAAACTATGCAGGGAACTCCAATGGTTCATAAAAAGTGGCAATGTTGTAGTTAGACATCTATTTCCCTACTCTTACCTGCCATCATTTCAAACCACTCATCTGACCAGAAGCTCAGGCAGCTGTTTCTATGGAATATAAGGCAGCTGCCTAGATCAGCAGACTGGAATGTGGGGCCCTGCAGCTGGCCCCCTAGCCTTCCACCTGGATACTGAACATGTCATCACAACTTCTACTTCCTACTTTCTGCTGGCCACAAGCCCAGGATTCAAGCCTACACTTGCAAATTTCCAAAATCCTGGTGGGTAGCCTGCTTTCCCATACAATGGATCAAGATGTCATTCTGAACACTAGCTTCCATTTCCTCTAAATTTCCCACACACATCCTTCACTGGAATGATGTAATTTTTCTTTAAATTTAAATTAATATTGGGGCCCGCCTGGTGGTGCAGCAGTTAAGTTCACACGTTCCGCTCCCATGGCCCTGGATTCACTGGTTCAGATCCTGAGCGCAGACCTACTCACCGCTCATCAAGCCATGCTGAGGTGGCACCCCACATAGAGCAACTAGAAGGATGTACAACTAGGACATACAACTGTCGACTGCAGCTTTGGGGAGAAAAAAAGGAAAAAAGGAGGAAGATTGGCAACAGATGTTAGCTCAGGGCCAATCTTCCTCAAAAAAAAATTAAATTAATACTAACTCAGGAGAAGAGAAGCAACAGAGACAAAGGGTAACAGGCTACTTAGTGCTACATGAAGAGATTCAGAGATAAAGGCAAAAAGTTCCAAGAAGGGAGAGAAACAGTCTTAGACAAACAACAAGGTAGTGGGACAAGTATATAGAGAAAAGTCCAGACTGTCTGATGGTTTAATTCAGAAATGCATTCATCCACTCATCAATTCAACAAACATTTCTGCAAGGTACTGTACTTGGCACAATGAGGGATATAAAAGTTAATTTGATTTGTAAAAATCATTGTGAAATAACAATATGAGTTGGGAAGTGATAAGTGCTATATTTTTTTAAAGTATGGGTAAATGTACATATGATGGGAGAGAGAGAGTATCTCCAGGTCAGGAAATCTGAGAGAGCTTCAGGAAAGATTTTAAGGAAGAACTGAGAATGTGAGAAAAGCATACTGCCGGCAGAGGAAACAAAAATGGAGACACAAACAGAAAAACACAGCAGGTTCTTGCAACATGAATTCCACTTGGACAGAGTCCAGCCCATAAGAAGAGAGGCAGTGGCAAGGAAATTAAAACAAGTTGGACGGTCTAGAAAACCAGCCCAACTTTTCCAAGGCAGTAGGGAATTTCCGAAGCATGAATGAGCAGAAGAGAAGAACAGATCAGAGTTGTGTTTCAGGAAAAATTAACCTGGCACAGGATTCAGAGTCATCTGGAGTTAAGAGAGACTAGCAGCAGTTGCACCTTAGGAAAGAACCAGAACAGACTACGTGAAAGGAAAGGACGGCCTGAACTAGAGTTGTACACGTGGACACTGAAACGAAAAGACCCTGAAGATGATATGACACAGGACAAACTGGCACCACCTGGCAATCAGGCAGATTTGGAGGAGAGCAAGGAGGTGGCAATCGTCTGAGATTTCAAGTGAGGAGACTGGGAGATGATAATGTCACTAAGTTAGAGAAGATGATGAATTCTACTTTGGGTATTATATACCTCTATGTGGAAATACATATCTCTATACACACCTCAACACACGGAAATACATACCTCTACATATACCTCTACACCAAATACCTGGAAACTAGAGCATAACTTAGAGAGATAAATTAGCCAGCCATTTGCATAAAGATGGTAAACCATCTAGAATGGACAAGTTTTCTAGAATGGACAAGATTGCCAAGAAAGAGTAAGCTGATACAGAAGGGGGTCTAGGACAAAATCTGGGTTAGGGCAACTTTTAGGAAATGCAAAGAGGAAAAAGAAGCAGAAAATATTAGAAGCTAATAAAGATATAGGAAAAGAACCAAAGGATTTGGAAGTTAAGAAAACAAGGGAAGGCCGGCCCCATGGCTTAGTGCTTAAGTGTGCGCGCTCCGCTACTGGCAGCCCGGGGTTCGGATCCCAGGCATGCACTGACGCACTGCTTCTCCAGCCATGCTGCAGCCGCGTCCCACATACAGCAACTAGAAGACTGTGCAACTACGACATACAACTATCTACTGGGGCTTTGTGGGGGAAAAAAAAAAGGAGGAGGATTGGCAATAGATGTTACCTCAGAGCTGGTCTTCCTCAGCAAACAGAGGAGGATTAGCACGGATGTTAGCTTAGGGCTGATCTTCCTCACAAAAAAAAAAAAAAAAAGAAGAAAACAAGGGAGAAAATAACTCCCAAAGAAAGACAGGTTCATGATCAGGGTTTCCATCCATTACTGAGTAAGAATACAAATACTGGCAGCCTTGGGTGGGATGAGGAGTTGGGGGCAAGCTGCAAGCAGGAGAAAGAGCGACTCCAAAAACAAGTGCCAGAATTGAAAACAGGCGTGCTTCACGTCAAGTCCTGATGCAGGCAAGAGTCAAAATTAAGAGGAGTTACTGCCAGTTAAGTGACATCGAGGTACAGAGATCTTGACTCAAACGTCCCCAGGTCCTACATCCACAACATTCCTTAGTGGCAAATATCCCAGATGGCATGATTTACACCTAACTTGTCTCTCTAGCTCAGGGAGACAAGGAATGTTTGGTTGGGTTCATCATTGTAACACCACTGGCTCCCACAGTACCTAGGACAGAACAGGTGCTCAATAATCACTCCTTACATGACTAGATGAGTTTGTTTTCATGAACAAGCAGTGAGAACACCAAGCAAAGCAGAGTCATTCAGGGAAACCACACTAAAAACAAGTTAGCAAAGAACACAGGACCCAGGAAACAAAGTTAGCAAGAATAAGCCAGACAGCTGGGCATGGAGTCAAAGCTTGCTTTTAGTTATCAAAGCACCAGAAGGAGATGGAAGGATTCCAATTATATAAGATGCTAAGGAGAAGATGAACAATCAACCTTCCCTTCCCAGCAATGTAGTTGTGAAGGCCCATTAACTCCAAAGAAATCCTGGACACTCCTACCCTGACATATTGAAAGCACAAGCCAATTTCTAATCGTCACCAGCTTCTAGAGTGAGGGCCACTGTTACACTGCCCAACTGCCGACTGGCTCCTAGACAGAGTGTTTTACCACGGAAATAGCTGTACATTCTGAAGAGTTGGACTGGGGTTAGGATGAAGAGGCAGTAACAGTCAATAGTGTTACATGGTACAAAAAGCAGGAATGAGGGGGAATGGGGAAAAGGCACTAGTCTTGAAAGAGTAAATGTGAAGCTCTGGATCAAAGAAGTAGTGTCCGAGACCCTTTACATTCTCCAAACGTAGCACAACGCATAGTGAAGAGCAAGTGCTCAAAAATGTGAATAAACTAAGCCTATCCGGGACAGAAACTAGGTTACAACGAATATATACTAGTGAGAAATATGAGTAGCAGGGCCAGGACTAGGGTGCGAAATTTATGAAAGAAAGCCAAGTCGTACAAGTGCCAACCCCACATTTGCAAGGACTCTGAGAGTGAGCGCCTCCTTAAATGTTTGTGCCCTAGGCATCTCGCTTGCCTTACCTAGTCTCAGCTCTGATGAGTAGCAAGAGCAGATGAATCTACGAACCTGCACAGTGAAGGAAACTCAAGGAGATAAAGTCAAAAGAGAGGTTTAAAGAGAGAAAAGGTTGAGGCTATCCAGAAGCTAAGATGGAGCCAATGGAAAGCGAGAGAGAGTAAAAACAAGTGAAAGAGGATATAATAAAGCAAAAAAAAAGGATAGGATTAAAATAAATCTCACTGAAATTAAAGAAATAAATAATTTACATTACAAATCAGTAGGAAACATGAAATAGTCAACAAGTAATGTTAAGACACACTTAACATGATTTTTCAAAAATACCCAATAGACACTACTTCATAACATATTCTGAAATAAAATTCAGTTTAAATAAAATTTAAATGTTTACAGATAAGACAGAGAGAGGGAGAGAGAAGGCAGGGAAAAGATGCCCAGAATAGTTGAATGAGGAGTCTGACAGATATGATCCCCAACAATAAATATGGACAAAATTATCAAAACCAACCATTTAAGGATCTGGAATATTGACTAAAGACATCCAACAAATTGAGAAGTGTTTATTCAAGAAAATCTACTGAATCTCAGTAAGAACAGTATTTTAGCCTGGGGCTCCTGCCACCCCACACTCACTCCCAATTCCTTGGTGTGGAAGTCCTACTAGGGCCGGGCAAGCTGTGAAGACTGGCAGCTCCACTGCCAGAAGAAGGTAAATTTATTTGGAGCAGAGCAAGGAGAATTCCATGCCCACGGGCATTTTCAAAAACAATAGTGATTCAAGGGGCAAAATATCAGAGTGCCAATATCACGGCTAGCCTGAGTTTGCAATACTAGTTAGGGCAAGCAACAAACAG